GTTAGGAACCTTTCTGAAGCCAAGTGTCTCTTACTAGTTTGCTAGATAAAGTATCACTTCTGAATACTTCTCAGAAGGCCAGGATGCTTGGGGTACTTAGGGGAAAACGGGGGAGGTCCAGGGCTAGAGGGAAAGGACATAACATGTAGTTCTTTCTAACCCAGCGATTGCCCCACAACTTCACCTCCAGGGAGACCTTAGGTCTTCCTCCGATGTTGGCAGGGCAGGGGCCAGGAAGGTGAGACAGTACTCCATCTGGTAAGTACATACAATAAGTTTTCCTTCCCTTTTTGAGTTTCCCATAGAATCCCAGACTCTAAGTTGAGCAAGTAGGTGGAATATATTATTTACTTGTGTATACTGCCCTGCCTCCTTTCAGAGAAGCCTTAAGGTGGACCTAGCTACATACGGGTGGTGTCTTTTGAGTAATAATAATAGTAATAATAAAAACTATACTGACGGGGCACTTTCTCTGAGCCAAGCACCATTCTATGCCTTTATGTACATTAACCCAGTTTGGACTTGACAATAATCTAGTGACACAGGAACCATTATCCCCATTTTACAGATGAGGAAGCCGAGGCAAAAAGAGGTCAAGGCAAGTGCCAAGATCACAGAATGAACCCCTGGGCATCTGGCTCCAGGGACTGGCCCTTAACCATAACACTTAGGTCCTTCAAGTGACAATGAAAGGGCAGGGACCTCTCTTAGGCAAACAGTCTGCAAGGGTCCAGCCTTAGCGTCCACGGACCACTCTGAACTGCCTGAGGTCTGCGGAGCTCCAGCTGCATTTCTTTGTTTTGTTTTGTTTTGTTTTTGTGATAGTATATACGCAACATAAAATTTACACTTGCACATTTGTAGGTATACAACGCAGGGGGCATCGGGACGGTTCAGATCGTCGTACAACCAGCGCACTATCCGTGTCCAGAAGCTTTTCATCTTCCCAAACTGGAACTCCATACCTGTTAAACAATCAGCCCCATTCTCCTCTCCCCGCAGCCCCTGGTAAACCTCTACTCTGCTTCTGTGTCTAGCAACGTCTCTACCCTGCGCACCTCATACAAATGGAACTACAGAGCATTTGCCCTCTTGTATCTGGCTTATTTCGTGTAGCAGAATGCACTCAAGGTCCATCCACATTGTAGCACGTTGCTGTTTCCCTCCTTCAAAGGCTGGATAACAGTCCACTGTAGGGGTAGATGACATTTTGCGTATTCCTTTAGCCATCTATCGACAGACACCCAGGCTGCTTCCGCCTTCCAGCTAGGGGAATAACGTCGCTATGAGCGTGGATGCACCAAGGTCTGTTTTGAGTACTGCTTTCGATTCTTTTGGGGATATACCCAGAGCGCAACTGCTGGATCACACAGTGATTTTATTTTTAATTTTTTGCAGAGGCACCATCAAGCTGCGTTTCTTTTTTTCCTTCCTTTCCTCCCCCACTTCCAATAATATTCCACTAACCACAGTGGCCAAATCCACTTTATTTTCCCCGGAAGGCCTTTGGGCCGTATGTCTGTCCCCCATGATTTGAAAAGCCATCTCTCCCCTGCCCCCGCCCCCCAACTTTTTTAAACTTCAGCTGCAGAAATCACCTGATTGAAAACTGCAGAAGAACGCTCATCCCACACAGGAACGTTAACTGCTTAGAAAGCGCTGCCCACCAGCTAATTACAGGCTTTTACCAGGATTCTCCACAAACATTCAAAGTGCAGATCAACCTTACTTTGGTTGGGAAGTGTTTGGAAACAAGCTAATAGGCAGGTTTCAGATCCTTAGCCTGGAGGTGACAGCTCTTTCCTTTAGCTGATAAATAAAGCAAGTTAGAACATTCTAGATTCGAATTCAGGACAACTGTAGCTTTGCCCAGATACATACAGTTCAATCTGTATTTCGTTTATTACTGCAGCCAGTGTCCTTCATGAAAAATGCCATCCCAGCTGGGATTTCCACCCGCAGCTACAGTTCTGAACCCTGACTGTTAGAAACATCTGGGGTGCTTTAAAAATACACATACACATATAGAGAGAGAGAGAACTGAGGGCCCGGCTCAGTCCAGTTGGTCAGAGCCTCTGGGGGTGGGGTTGGCCATTGGTAGCACTTTAAAGCTCCCAGCTGATTCTGAAGTTCAGCCACGGTTAGGGATCCCTTACTGACAAAGGCAGGGAGAACTGAGATTCTCCCTTCTCTAGAAAGAATATTTTCAGTGGGCTTTAAGTTGACAGGAGGCGCCCTTGAGCTAGGAGCCTGAAACCTCAACATTTATAAAATTTTTAAATGTTTCTTCAATTTTTGAGAGAGAGAGAGAGAGAATGAGCAGGGGATGGGCAGAGAGAGAGGGAGACACAGAATCTGAAGCAGGTTCCAGGCTCTGAGCTGTCAGCACAGAGCCTGACGTGGGGCTCGAACCCATGAACCGTGAGATCGTGACCTGAGCCAAAGTCAGACACTCAAATGACTGAGCCACCCAGGCGCCCCTGGAAACCCCAACATTTAAACCTGAGAAAAAGGTCTTCCATAAATAGAGAGCACGGGCCTTGTCTGCTAACTGTCACCCGAAGGTGGGTGGTTCTGTTGGTTGAGCGTCTGACTTTTGGTTTCAGCTCAGGTCATGATCCCAGGGTCATGGGATTGAGCCCTGTACCAGGCTCCACATTAAGTGTAGATCCTGCTTAAGATTTCCTCTCTCTCTCTCACTTTCTCTTTCTGCCACCCCCCACTCTCTCTCAAAATAAATAAATAAACATAAAAAAGTAATAGTCAATAGTTACTAAGTGCGTGCTGTGCACTAGACACAGTGCTCAGCAAAGGTTATGTCTTGTTCTCATTTAACCCACATAACAATCTTTCAGGATGTCCTTGTGTCATTTTAGATTTACCCATTTTACAGATGAGAAAGTCTAAGCACACAGGTCTTGCTTGAGGCCACAAAGCCAAGGCCCAGGCCCTGGCTCCACAGCCCATGCATTTAACCCCCCTGCTCTTTTGATTCTCTGTCCATTCGTATCTTTTGGTTGTGACGGGCGGGTGCTACTTTTGTCATAAATCTTAAAGTCAAGTAAAATACAGAGGTGTTGAGGCTTTCCTTATGGGCACTCAGTGCCCCCTGGGGCCCCCTCCTGATCTCCACGTGCAACATTAAGTTCTTCTTCTCAGCAGGGACTTGGGAATCGATATTCCATGCTTGGATCTTATCTTGGTTCAATAGAGCTTCCACGGCCTGCCCTCTACCATTTAAAGATGCAGTGGAATCGCGGTCTTCTGTCTTCACCTGAAACTGAGGAGAGTGGGACCCGTGGACAGCAGCCATCACAGGCTGCAAGAGAGAGGATGTCGTGTCTGCTTAGGGCAGGCATCCCCTGATTGGACGCAGACCCTCTGGGTGACAGGCCCTAAGAAAACCCAGAGCCAAGCTGCCTCAGGGGAGTCTCCGAGCAGAGCGCACTTGCAGCCTTGGCGACGAGAAGCAATAAGCCCGTGCAGAGGAAGCCACGGCCTTCTTTCTTGGGAGCCCAGCAGCTAAGGATTTTAGACTAGATCTAAACAGATTAAGCTTCCAGTGACTCTGGAGCAGGGTTCTTCAGTGTGATATCAGAACCCAATGCCGCCACTACCTGGGTGATTGGGAAAGGCAGACCCCCTTGATCTTTGGAGCTAGGAAGACCAGAGCCTGAAGACTAATTCTACCAGTCTGACACTGGGTAGACTGCTCAGGCGTTAAGCCTCGGTCCCCAGCCCTGTAAGCTGACAAGGGTGATGCTGGCTTGATAGGGTGAAGCATGATGAGTATCAGCAATAAGTGAAGCCCTCCTACGACTAGGTCACAGGAGATAAGAACCATCACTTCTAGTAATTCTATGCTGTGGTAGCCAGCTTCTAAACTGCCTCCCAACGATCCCTAACTCCCAGTATTCACACCATCCTGTAATCCCCTCTCCTAGAAGATGAGCTGGATCTAGCGGGTTGCTTTTAATGAACAGAATATGGCAAAAGCAATAGGGTGTCATTTCTAAGATCAGGTTAACAATAGGACTCTGGCTTCCATCTTGTTCACCGTCTCTTGCTCCTTCACGTGCCCGCTCTGATGGAAACCATCTGCCATGCCGTGAGTTACCCCATGGAGAAGCCCACGTGATAAGAAACACAGGAAGGTCACTGGCCAACATCCAGGAAGGAACTGAAGCCTCCAATCCAATGCATCTCCTTGCGACGAGCCAAATCCTGCCAACCCCTATGTGCATACGCTTAAGAACAGATCCTCCCCCAGATGAGCCTTAAGATGAGACTGCGGCCCCAGCCAATACCTTGAGTGCAGTCTTGTCAGAGGACCTCAGCCAGAAGCACCCAGCAAAACTATGCCTGTGTTCCTGATCCACAGGAACTATGAGCTGAATGAATGTTCGTGGTTTTAAGTCACGAAATCTGTTTTGCAGCAATAGATAACTAATACACCCTGAAAACAACAGATTAAATTCAACCAGAGCGGCACATGAAGCCTCTACTTAAACACCATGTCCTTGGGAAAGCCTTTCAAAATCCTCCTGAGTTAGGTGACACTATATTCTCATGTTTCCCTATTAGACTATAAGCTACCTGAATCATCATATCATCAAAACACTCATAGTGAGCACTCATTATTATTTCAAAGTTCTAAGTCCCTTAATCTTCACAACAAACCTATGAAGCAAGTATTATTATTGCCCATTTTATAGATGAAGAAACTGAGGCTCAGAGGGGCCAGGCAACTTGCCAAAGCCTTCAGTAATTATGTGGAGATGCCAGGAAACACGGCTCCAAAGTTTACATTTGTAATAATCATGCTTTCCAGGTCTCTGGATCTTGCCTAAGTTCACAAATGGTAAATGAATTCAAACTCAGGTAGCTGAATACCAGACATGAAGTTCTTAAAGGTTACCCTCTCTAGATAACTTCTATCTTTAGAACAATAAGTGGAATATGTCTCACTGGAGTTCAGCAGGGTCTGGAACATAACCTACCTGTAAACACTAGGCTGGCATTTTCCAGTTCTTCTTGGGGGACTTTGAAGCTGAAGGATTCATTGTAGAAAGGATCGATCGTTCCTCTTAAGAAGGATGTCTTCTTTGTTTTCACAAGCTTGAGTCCATGTACCAGCTGGATTTTCACAAAGGGGTCTGGGAATCAGACACAGCATATGGAATGTTGGAGCTCATGAAACTCAATCCATCCATCCAACTTGCCATCTATCTGATAAGCCAACCACCCACGCATCCTTCCATCACTTTTTCCCCATCAATCCATCCAACTTTCCATCCATCAGGCCAGATATCCACCCCTCCTTTCGTTTGTCCATCTTCCCATCCATCCATCATCCATTCCTCCCTCTTCCCCATCCAGCTGCTTATCTGCTCATCCCTTTCTCTCTTCCTCCAGCCATCCAAGGTTTACTGAGCTCCTCCCATGCGTCAAGCACTGTGTGCATTTTACAGATGAACAAACTGAAGACTCAAGATAGGAAATGATCTGCTTAAGATCAGACGAGTGGGAGAAGAGCCAGATTCAGAGCCTGCTCTCATTTTTCTGTCCCTAGAAACCCACTATCATGTCAGTGAGCCCATAACTCATATGCAGGAGTACAGAGAGAATAAATATCATCTAATAGTTACTATTAGAATAGTAACTATCATTCTTAGATCCCTTGACAGTTTACAAAGAGATTCGTGTACATTATCTACTATTTGTTGAAACAACCCATCTCAATTTTTCGGATAGAGGAATTGAGGTATATGGAGGCTAAATAACTTCTTCAAGGCCACATCATTTGTAAGCAGTTGAATTAGGACTTGGCAGTTTGACTCCGGAACTCTTAATCATTTTATCATACTGACTTTCCCATGGTGGTGAGTCCTGAAACTCTCCAGCCTTAATACCATTCCCTCCACTGACCCCTTCAAAACCTCTATTTTTATAATGCGGTTTTTGAGAACGCAAGTTGTCTTCTAAATGCAGCTGTCACCTGATAGCAAAAGTGATTTATTTTAGCTACTGTACTTGGAGGAGACAGTAGTTCCTCCAGTGAGCCAGAGAGGTCCCAGAGACCCTGGCTACTTTCATGATACTATCCTCTGCCATCATGGGAGAAGCTACATACAGATGGAATGGAATCTGTTCCACTTCATTAAAAGTCATGTTTGAATTGGTTTGCTATACAGTTAGACACTTTATAAATACAACAGTCTTTTCAGAGCTTGGATTTAAAAAGATTCACGGTACACTTGGAATGAACTAGGAAAAAACCTCAGGGTGTGCCTGCCACGCCCACAGATCAGAAGGTGTGGTCGGTGCACACTACCACCACCTGGAGCATGGCATCTGCATTGCAGGCATAGTATCTGGAAAGGCAGGTAACTTCCTGGGGGCTGCATGTATAAAGAGCAAGCAGAGGTCAGTAGTTATCACACGTGGTCTCAGTCCAATTCCCAGTTCAAATGAGATTACTGAGATGGCATCATTTACCTGCCTCATCCTAAGAGACATCTGATCATTTATTTTTCCTCTTGATCTGACATCCTAGTTCTAAAAGCTATTTGTTTACCCTCACAGGGCCTTCTTAATAGTCTCAGGAGTGCAGAAAAAAAAAAAAAATCAAGTCCCCATGTCAGACAAATATAGATGCCATGTTAAGGAAATGGGGGAAGGAGGGGTCGCACTGTACCTGAACCTTGGCTCACATCTGTCTGAAGAAGTTGCTTGGCTCGAATGACGTCAACATTGAGTCTCCCAGCGCTCGGGAGATAATTGAGTGACAGAAGCAGCTCTCCCAGCTCTACTTCATTCTGCAGAGAAAACAAATGGTCGGGAAGTTGCTTTTCTCTTGTATTACTTTTTGTACCTAGCTTGCAGGAAAGTGATTCCAGCGGCTCACAAATAGGCTTCTGTGGGTGGAATGGATGACAGTGGATGCCTCTTTCTTCAGCTTCTCTTAGCCTCTGCCCCCAATCATTCCACCTATCTCAGAAAGTTCTTTCTGTTCTTAAAATACTTACCAGCAGCAACAACGTACTAACAACAAAGCATTGATAATGATAATAAATACATGCTACCTGTCAAGTACTGTGCTAAGCACCTTCTATGGAATAACTAGTTCAATCTTCATGAATCTGTAACATGTTACTGTTAGCTCTCACTTAATAGATGTGGAACCTGGGGAACAGGATAGTGAAATCCCACGTCCAAGGCCACACAGCTAGAAAATGGCAGCACTGGTGTCTGGTCCCAAGGAGGCTGATTCCAGACACTCTAACCACTGTGCTTTCCTGCCTCGCAGCAAAAGAAGTGTGAGGGAGAACACCTTGCAGAGCAACTATGTGGGTGAGAAATCTGTTCTCAACCCACGGTCCACAGCAGAGCCCTGGCTTCTGACCTCAGCAGGCAATACTCAGCCGGTGACATCCCTTGTTAAAAAATACCCATTCCTGGGGCGCCTGGGTGGCTTAGTCAGTTAAGCATCCAACTTTCACTTAGGTCATGATCTCGCGGTTCGTGGGTTCAAGCCCTGCGTCGGGCTCTATGCTGAATGCCAGCTCAGAGCCTGGAGCCTGTTTCAGTCTGTGACTCCCTCTCTCTCTGACCCTCCCCTGTTCACGCTGTCTCTCTCTCTCTCCTAGAAATAANTATCACAGAGCCCAGTGTGGGACTTGAACCCACAAACTGTGAGATCATGACCTGAGCCAAAGTCAGACACTCAAATGACTGAGCCACCCAGGCGCCCCTGGAAACCCCAACATTTAAACCTGAGAAAAAGGTCTTCCATAAATAGAGAGCACGGGCCTTGTCTGCTAACTGTCACCCGAAGGTGGGTGGTTCTGTTGGTTGAGCGTCTGACTTTTGGTTTCAGCTCAGGTCATGATCCCAGGGTCATGGGATTGAGCCCTGTACCAGGCTCCACATTAAGTGTAGATCCTGCTTAAGATTTCCTCTCTCTCTCTCACTTTCTCTTTCTGCCACCCCCCACTCTCTCTCAAAATAAATAAATAAACATAAAAAAGTAATAGTCAATAGTTACTAAGTGCGTGCTGTGCACTAGACACAGTGCTCAGCAAAGGTTATGTCTTGTTCTCATTTAACCCACATAACAATCTTTCAGGATGTCCTTGTGTCATTTTAGATTTACCCATTTTACAGATGAGAAAGTCTAAGCACACAGGTCTTGCTTGAGGCCACAAAGCCAAGGCCCAGGCCCTGGCTCCACAGCCCATGCATTTAACCCCCCTGCTCTTTTGATTCTCTGTCCATTCGTATCTTTTGGTTGTGACGGGCGGGTGCTACTTTTGTCATAAATCTTAAAGTCAAGTAAAATACAGAGGTGTTGAGGCTTTCCTTATGGGCACTCAGTGCCCCCTGGGGCCCCCTCCTGATCTCCACGTGCAACATTAAGTTCTTCTTCTCAGCAGGGACTTGGGAATCGATATTCCATGCTTGGATCTTATCTTGGTTCAATAGAGCTTCCACGGCCTGCCCTCTACCATTTAAAGATGCAGTGGAATCGCGGTCTTCTGTCTTCACCTGAAACTGAGGAGAGTGGGACCCGTGGACAGCAGCCATCACAGGCTGCAAGAGAGAGGATGTCGTGTCTGCTTAGGGCAGGCATCCCCTGATTGGACGCAGACCCTCTGGGTGACAGGCCCTAAGAAAACCCAGAGCCAAGCTGCCTCAGGGGAGTCTCCGAGCAGAGCGCACTTGCAGCCTTGGCGACGAGAAGCAATAAGCCCGTGCAGAGGAAGCCACGGCCTTCTTTCTTGGGAGCCCAGCAGCTAAGGATTTTAGACTAGATCTAAACAGATTAAGCTTCCAGTGACTCTGGAGCAGGGTTCTTCAGTGTGATATCAGAACCCAATGCCGCCACTACCTGGGTGATTGGGAAAGGCAGACCCCCTTGATCTTTGGAGCTAGGAAGACCAGAGCCTGAAGACTAATTCTACCAGTCTGACACTGGGTAGACTGCTCAGGCGTTAAGCCTCGGTCCCCAGCCCTGTAAGCTGACAAGGGTGATGCTGGCTTGATAGGGTGAAGCATGATGAGTATCAGCAATAAGTGAAGCCCTCCTACGACTAGGTCACAGGAGATAAGAACCATCACTTCTAGTAATTCTATGCTGTGGTAGCCAGCTTCTAAACTGCCTCCCAACGATCCCTAACTCCCAGTATTCACACCATCCTGTAATCCCCTCTCCTAGAAGATGAGCTGGATCTAGCGGGTTGCTTTTAATGAACAGAATATGGCAAAAGCAATAGGGTGTCATTTCTAAGATCAGGTTAACAATAGGACTCTGGCTTCCATCTTGTTCACCGTCTCTTGCTCCTTCACGTGCCCGCTCTGATGGAAACCATCTGCCATGCCGTGAGTTACCCCATGGAGAAGCCCACGTGATAAGAAACACAGGAAGGTCACTGGCCAACATCCAGGAAGGAACTGAAGCCTCCAATCCAATGCATCTCCTTGCGACGAGCCAAATCCTGCCAACCCCTATGTGCATACGCTTAAGAACAGATCCTCCCCCAGATGAGCCTTAAGATGAGACTGCGGCCCCAGCCAATACCTTGAGTGCAGTCTTGTCAGAGGACCTCAGCCAGAAGCACCCAGCAAAACTATGCCTGTGTTCCTGATCCACAGGAACTATGAGCTGAATGAATGTTCGTGGTTTTAAGTCACGAAATCTGTTTTGCAGCAATAGATAACTAATACACCCTGAAAACAACAGATTAAATTCAACCAGAGCGGCACATGAAGCCTCTACTTAAACACCATGTCCTTGGGAAAGCCTTTCAAAATCCTCCTGAGTTAGGTGACACTATATTCTCATGTTTCCCTATTAGACTATAAGCTACCTGAATCATCATATCATCAAAACACTCATAGTGAGCACTCATTATTATTTCAAAGTTCTAAGTCCCTTAATCTTCACAACAAACCTATGAAGCAAGTATTATTATTGCCCATTTTATAGATGAAGAAACTGAGGCTCAGAGGGGCCAGGCAACTTGCCAAAGCCTTCAGTAATTATGTGGAGATGCCAGGAAACACGGCTCCAAAGTTTACATTTGTAATAATCATGCTTTCCAGGTCTCTGGATCTTGCCTAAGTTCACAAATGGTAAATGAATTCAAACTCAGGTAGCTGAATACCAGACATGAAGTTCTTAAAGGTTACCCTCTCTAGATAACTTCTATCTTTAGAACAATAAGTGGAATATGTCTCACTGGAGTTCAGCAGGGTCTGGAACATAACCTACCTGTAAACACTAGGCTGGCATTTTCCAGTTCTTCTTGGGGGACTTTGAAGCTGAAGGATTCATTGTAGAAAGGATCGATCGTTCCTCTTAAGAAGGATGTCTTCTTTGTTTTCACAAGCTTGAGTCCATGTACCAGCTGGATTTTCACAAAGGGGTCTGGGAATCAGACACAGCATATGGAATGTTGGAGCTCATGAAACTCAATCCATCCATCCAACTTGCCATCTATCTGATAAGCCAACCACCCACGCATCCTTCCATCACTTTTTCCCCATCAATCCATCCAACTTTCCATCCATCAGGCCAGATATCCACCCCTCCTTTCGTTTGTCCATCTTCCCATCCATCCATCATCCATTCCTCCCTCTTCCCCATCCAGCTGCTTATCTGCTCATCCCTTTCTCTCTTCCTCCAGCCATCCAAGGTTTACTGAGCTCCTCCCATGCGTCAAGCACTGTGTGCATTTTACAGATGAACAAACTGAAGACTCAAGATAGGAAATGATCTGCTTAAGATCAGACGAGTGGGAGAAGAGCCAGATTCAGAGCCTGCTCTCATTTTTCTGTCCCTAGAAACCCACTATCATGTCAGTGAGCCCATAACTCATATGCAGGAGTACAGAGAGAATAAATATCATCTAATAGTTACTATTAGAATAGTAACTATCATTCTTAGATCCCTTGACAGTTTACAAAGAGATTCGTGTACATTATCTACTATTTGTTGAAACAACCCATCTCAATTTTTCGGATAGAGGAATTGAGGTATATGGAGGCTAAATAACTTCTTCAAGGCCACATCATTTGTAAGCAGTTGAATTAGGACTTGGCAGTTTGACTCCGGAACTCTTAATCATTTTATCATACTGACTTTCCCATGGTGGTGAGTCCTGAAACTCTCCAGCCTTAATACCATTCCCTCCACTGACCCCTTCAAAACCTCTATTTTTATAATGCGGTTTTTGAGAACGCAAGTTGTCTTCTAAATGCAGCTGTCACCTGATAGCAAAAGTGATTTATTTTAGCTACTGTACTTGGAGGAGACAGTAGTTCCTCCAGTGAGCCAGAGAGGTCCCAGAGACCCTGGCTACTTTCATGATACTATCCTCTGCCATCATGGGAGAAGCTACATACAGATGGAATGGAATCTGTTCCACTTCATTAAAAGTCATGTTTGAATTGGTTTGCTATACAGTTAGACACTTTATAAATACAACAGTCTTTTCAGAGCTTGGATTTAAAAAGATTCACGGTACACTTGGAATGAACTAGGAAAAAACCTCAGGGTGTGCCTGCCACGCCCACAGATCAGAAGGTGTGGTCGGTGCACACTACCACCACCTGGAGCATGGCATCTGCATTGCAGGCATAGTATCTGGAAAGGCAGGTAACTTCCTGGGGGCTGCATGTATAAAGAGCAAGCAGAGGTCAGTAGTTATCACACGTGGTCTCAGTCCAATTCCCAGTTCAAATGAGATTACTGAGATGGCATCATTTACCTGCCTCATCCTAAGAGACATCTGATCATTTATTTTTCCTCTTGAACTGACATCCTAGTTCTAAAAGCTATTTGTTTACCCTCACAGGGCCTTCTTAATAGTCTCAGGAGTGCAGAAAAAAAAAAAAAATCAAGTCCCCATGTCAGACAAATATAGATGCCATGTTAAGGAAATGGGGGAAGGAGGGGTCGCACTGTACCTGAACCTTGGCTCACATCTGTCTGAAGAAGTTGCTTGGCTCGAATGACGTCAACATTGAGTCTCCCAGCGCTCGGGAGATAATTGAGTGACAGAAGCAGCTCTCCCAGCTCTACTTCATTCTGCAGAGAAAACAAATGGTCGGGAAGTTGCTTTTCTCTTGTATTACTTTTTGTACCTAGCTTGCAGGAAAGTGATTCCAGCGGCTCACAAATAGGCTTCTGTGGGTGGAATGGATGACAGTGGATGCCTCTTTCTTCAGCTTCTCTTAGCCTCTGCCCCCAATCATTCCACCTATCTCAGAAAGTTCTTTCTGTTCTTAAAATACTTACCAGCAGCAACAACGTACTAACAACAAAGCATTGATAATGATAATAAATACATGCTACCTGTCAAGTACTGTGCTAAGCACCTTCTATGGAATAACTAGTTCAATCTTCATGAATCTGTAACATGTTACTGTTAGCTCTCACTTAATAGATGTGGAACCTGGGGAACAGGATAGTGAAATCCCACGTCCAAGGCCACACAGCTAGAAAATGGCAGCACTGGTGTCTGGTCCCAAGGAGGCTGATTCCAGACACTCTAACCACTGTGCTTTCCTGCCTCGCAGCAAAAGAAGTGTGAGGGAGAACACCTTGCAGAGCAACTATGTGGGTGAGAAATCTGTTCTCAACCCACGGTCCACAGCAGAGCCCTGGCTTCTGACCTCAGCAGGCAATACTCAGCCGGTGACATCCCTTGTTAAAAAATACCCATTCCTGGGGCGCCTGGGTGGCTTAGTCAGTTAAGCATCCAACTTTCACTTAGGTCATGATCTCGCGGTTCGTGGGTTCAAGCCCTGCGTCGGGCTCTATGCTGAATGCCAGCTCAGAGCCTGGAGCCTGTTTCAGTCTGTGACTCCCTCTCTCTCTGACCCTCCCCTGTTCACGCTGTCTCTCTCTCTCTCCTAGAAATAAATTTAAAAATATATATTTTAAAAAAACCCATTCCTTTGATGTCAACACCACCATGCTAGTGAGAAATTCACCCAGAGCATGATTCATGCCTCCAAAAGTACCTGGGAAACAGGAGGCCCCAGTCCTCTGTCCCATTTAAATACAATTTTTTAATGTAAAAACTTGCAACCATATGCAGATCTACACAAGCCTGTATAACGAATCTCCATATACCCATGATGATCAACAATGATCAACTTCTTGCTAAAGGATGTTTCATCGTGTCTTAGTCTGTACTTGTCTTCATTCATATAACAAAAGGCCATAGATTGGGTGGCTCACAAACCACAAAAATTTCTTTCTCACAGTCCTAGAGGCTGGGAGTTAAGGATCAGGGCGCTGGCACCGTTGGGTGAGGACCATCTTCCAGGTCACAGATTTCTCGTTGTATCATCACATGGTAGAAGAGACTGGGGAGCAATGTGGGCCCCTAATCCCATTCAAGGGGGCTCTACCTTCATTACCTAGTTACCTCTCAAAGGCCCGATCTTGTAACAGCATCACATTGGGCATTAGGATTCCAACATGTAAATTTTGGGAGGACACAAACATTTAGAGCATAGCACATCTACACACTGACTTGCAAAAAAATCTTAGCCGAATATTTCAAACCATGTCCCAGACATGATGTCATTTTACCTGTATATCCTTCAGAGTGTATCTCTAAATGATAAGGACATTAAAACAAATATTTTTGGTATGAGACATTTCTAGTCATATTCAAAAGAAAGCAAAAAAGTATAAGGAAACTTCTCATATCCACCATCACTCAGATTCAATAATTATCTTGATTTATCTATACTCTCATTCAACTCTCCGTATCACCCTGAAGTAATTCCCACACATATTATTTTATCTATAATATTTTAGTATATAACTCTAAATGATCAAATTGATCTATTTATCTATCCATGTAACCACCCACGAGCTACCCATCCTCCATCCATCCAACCATCCACCTATCCATCCTCCATCTATTCATTCATCCTTTCTTCCTCCACCCATCAACCATCCATCTTTCATCCATCCATCATCCATCTATCCTTCTTTTATCACCCTTTCCATCTATCCACCCACCCATAATCTCTGTCCCTTTCAGTTATCAGTCATTCCAGCAAATTTATGCCAAGTGGCAGCTCTAGAACATAGTTTGGCACATGGTAGATACTCAATAAACATGCACTGACTGGATCCACAGTCAAACCAATAGATTTCTGGACTGAGTTAGTCCCCAAACAAGAAATAACCTCACACATTACCTCAGAGGTTACAAACTGTCAGCCTGCAGATGCATTTCATTTGGCCCACATCAAGTTGAAACACAGTAACTAGCTCATTACTATAAAAATCAAGAATCAAGGGGCGCCTGGGTGGCTCAGTCGGTTGAGCGTCCGACTTCAGCTCAGGTCATGATCTCACAGTCCGTGGGTTCGAGACCCGCGTCGGGCTCTGTGCTGACAGCTCAGAGCCTGGAGCCTGCTTTGGATTCTGTGTCTCCCTCTCTCTCTGCCCCTCCCCACTAACTCTCTGTCTCTGTCTCTCAAAATAAAATAAAGACATAAAAAAAAAAATTTTTTTTTTTAAATTCAAGAATCAAGATATTCCACTTTCAAAAAAAGTTCTGGAAGTCTTGACTTCCTTGAAAAATGAAGGTCCAGCAAGGCTGGGCTCCACATTCCCACCTCGTAACATCTGGCCACAGTGCAGCATGCCCCAGGAATGGACCTACCCGTGTCATTTCACTACTCTTCTTCACTGCTTTACATGCATGATTGCAGGTTTTTAAAGGCAAGAATGGTCAACTCAGTGTCCGGAGTAATCAGGGAAGCTCAGCAGCCCCTCTACACAGTTGTAAGGATTCCCCCCTTGTTCTTGAAGGCCTAGAAGATGCAGTCGCCTCAGGGCCTGCCCCTGCAGACAGACGTATTTATCCTGAGGCGAGAAAGGCAGAGAATTCTCTGGGCTCCCTAGGCCAGGGAGAAGCATTCACACCCTTGTGGACTTAGAGCAAAGACTTCCCTGGTTTCACAGCTAACCAGCCGCTCAACTCAAGACACGGCTCTCCAGGCAGGATCCTAACTCATCACTCAGTCCGCGGAGATGGTGAAAAGCAAATTCAACACATCTAATGTCATTGAGCGTAGTTCATTTAGAGATGGCCCCAACTGAGGGACAGAATGTATGGCAGGAAATCGGCCTACAGACATAGACCAGTAGTTCTCATATGGGGACAGTTCTGTCACCCTCAACTCCCTGGGGGACATTTTCCAACGTCTAAAGACATTTTGGGTTGTCACACCGGAGGTGGGGGACGCTGCTGGGCAGCTACTGGGCAGAGGTCAGGGACGCTGTTCAACATCATGCAGTGTACAAGACCAGAATCGTCCAGCCCCAGGTGGCGACAGTGCTCAGATTGAGAGACATGGGTTTGAAGAGAGAAAAGGGGACACAGGTCTCTTTTAGGAGCAAAACAAGTAAACATCCGTCGGCTCCATAGTTTCATTTCCAGGAACTTACCCCATCAATGCACCTCACTGTGTGTCAAGATGTGCACACAAGGATAATAAATATAGTACCATGACGGTGATAGATCGACTGTGGGCCATGCCGTGCGAGGAGTGGGGAGCAAGAGTCCCTGCCTTCATGGAACACACACTCTGGTTGGGGAGACGGAGAGTAAACAGACTAAAAAAGATACCAATGGGGGCACCTTAGTTGGTTAAGCATCTGACTCTCGGTTTCAGCTCAGGTCGTGATCTCGTGGTTCAGGAGTTCGAGCCCCATGCTATCATCACAGAGCCTGCTTGGGATTCTCTCTCCCTCTCTCTGCCCCTCACCCACTCATACCCTCTCTCAAAATAAATAAATAAACTTTAAGAAAAAAGACACAAATGAGGTGATTTCAGATAATGTTGAATACTAGGAAGAATAATCCAGGGGCACCTGGGTGGCTCAGTCGGTTAAGCGTCCGACTTTAGCTCAGGTCATGATCTCATGGTTCATGAGTTCAAGCCCTGCGTCGGGCTCCATGCTGACAAGCTTGGAGCCTGGAGCCTGCTTCAAATTTTGTGTCTCCCTCTCTTTCTGCTCCTCCCCGACTTGTGCTCTGTCTCTTTCTCTCTCTCACTCGCTCAAAAATAAACATTAAAAAATAAAAAAATTTTTTTAATAAAAAAAGAAAAAGAAAGATCCAGCAGGGTAAGGAGATGAGAGACCTTTCTGGCGTGAGGGAAATACTCTGTATCTTGATTACAGCGGCGATTACATGTGTGCATTTGCCAAAAATCAACAAACTATGTATTTAAAATGAATGTCTTTACTGTATGTAAATTATACCTTAGTAAAGTTGATTAAAAGCGGGGGATATGAAGTAAGCAAACAGGGCAGAATATTATTAGCATTTGTCAGATCTCGGAGATGGTTACCTGGGTATTTCTTTTATTCTTTTAAGTTAGAACTATTTCATTTAAAAACATAACACAAACATTTAAAAAGCAAGCACAATATCTTAGGCAGGGAAAGAGGATGGTGACTGGTGGGCCACATGCGAGGGCCCCCACATCAGCCGGGGCGTTCAGGCAAGGCCTCTGTGAGGTGAGGTTTGAGGGAGGCCTAAAGGAAGCGAGTGGGGAGGGGGACACACCAGGCAGAGGGGTAGGAAGACCAGAATGGCTAGAGTGAGCTAAGAGGTGGCTTCTGGAAAGATCCATGGGAGCTAGAGAAAGCTGCCCAGTGGCTGACCTGTGGGAGTATGCCCACTCCAGAGGCGCTTCCAGGAAATGGAAAAGGGAGTGAGGTCAGCTACAGGGCTCTCATCGCCTAAGGGGCCCTCAAGCCCTTTCCGGAGAGAAAAGAGCTGCTCTTTTCCTCTTCAGGGGCTGTTGACCAACCTTCAACAAGGCAGCTGCCTGGTGTCATCCTCTATCTTCCCCTTTCTAAGAAGACTATTTTTCACCTCAAACAAAACAAAACAACTCTTTTATTCCTCTTTCCCCTTGAAGGTTATGAACTGCTGCTCTCACCAGCCCCACCCCACCCCCAACACACGCCCATCAAGGTTTTCATGCTGTATTTTTCCAAGGGAAGTGATCCCATTGATCCAGCTAACGCTTCTCTCCGCCTCG